CTGTACACTGCTGTACATCCTGCTTACCCCTGTACACTGCTGTACACCCTATTGACCTCTGTACATTGCTCTACATATTACTTACACTGGCCAGACCTCAGAGCAGACAGCAAGGCCAGCAAGGCCTGAAACTAGTCGAGCAAGTCAGCCTGCAGTTCCAGTGGTTCTACCTTCATAATGGACTCCTGTATCAGACTTGTGGGGGTCTAAGTTTTCTCTATGCCCTCCTTGTCCTTTTTATTGGGGGCTTGCTAGCTAATTACTTATAAAAAAAATGGTGCCACACCCCAGTGATCTTTGAATTCATGTGATGGCGCGCTCTATCAATCATGCAACATCAGAAACATAAACTAATCTATAAAAACAGTTGTGCACCATATGTGTGTATATATATATATCCCTTATATCGATCATTACAATGCATTAAATCTAGACACTATTACACAATAGGTTCTTTAGTTGATAATCCGGTGGTGATCTTAAACTTTATAGGAGAAATCCTTTATGCAATATGTTGTCAGTCTCCCAATAAATGCAATACACCATTGAGTTCAGTATACTCTCCTTTGTGGTAATTAAAATATGGTAGATGTGGTGTACAATAGAAGCTGCACCGTAGGTCAGTGTAATAAACGGAATCCTTTACTTCCTCAGCAGGCTACTTGATCACATCCTCCTCGAGTGGAATATATGTAAAAGAAGAGAAGATGCATAGTGTCTTATCTGGGGTGTAAGACTTTAATGTGCGTTGGTAATGCATTCACATGTAAAAAGACAAAGATGCGCTTTGTATATGTATATAAAACCGCCGACTGCGGTGAGGTCAGCCTCGTTGGTGTGCCTGCGCACACTGTCAATACTCGCCGTGTCTCAGTGTGGATGCGTAGTGACGTCACTGCCCCTCCCCTACGCGTTACGCCACAGAGACTCGTGGCTTCCTCTGGGGGATGTAGTTTGTATATAGAGATATATACTGTATGTGAGCACCTTCCACTGGCTCACAAGTAATTGCACACTATTTTTGGATCTTTGATCTTTACCATGTTGTCCAGGTAGATCTCTACCTCTCAAAGGTTGCCTACCCCTGCTTTAGCATGAATGTCAAAAAGCACTTGGGTGTATGGTGGATGGTTTAACAGTTAGCAAGTGGAAGAAAAAAGGGGGAGGCCTCCGCAATCAAAATATAAAGTATGTTTCAATTCAGTCGGAGGGTACATCAACTGGAGGATCATTGGTTATATTATTTAGAAGCTATAGGCAAGGTTTTAATGAAAGATCCCCAAACATCAGAATTTTTATCTGTGATTCCTTGCCTAAGGAGGCCTCCATCCACTCCATTGGAAAAACATATGATATCTTGTCTATAAACAAAGATAGCGGGGATTCCAGCTAAATCCATTTGTGTAGGATGGTTTTCCGTGCTATAAGGGAAATGACAATAAGGAGTTGTTTACAGCCCCTTGAGATTTTGATACTTGGTGTATTAGTTAAGCCAAAAGTGCACATTCAGGGTTTAGAGGTAAGTAGTTTTTTTAAATGTGCGGTAGCATATTGTATTAATTGAGTTAAAAAATTATTTAGTCTTGGGGCACGCCCAGTTGCTCACTAAACTGGTAGAGGTAAATTGATGCCTCTGGTTTGATTTCTGCACATAGCAATTCATAGGGAGTGAGTGGCAGCCCGTTCTGATTATGAAATGCCTCTAACAAAAGGGAAAGTTAACCTGGCAACTGGTGACCACTTCTGAAAGAAGGGATACATTTAATGCTAAGGATTTTGCATAATTTTTTTTCAAAATACTGAGTAAATCTTCACATCACAGATGAAGTTTGAGAGGGTTGTATGAGGCGTTGATAGAAAGAGAAGGACATTGTCCACGAGTGCTACCACTTTGAATTTCCAGTCTCTTACTGATATCCCCTTAATATATTCTGATCCACTCTAAATCAATGCAAAAAGGGTTCCAAAGGCAATACATAAATTAGTGGCGAAAGAGGGCAGCCCTGTCTGGTTCCATTGCCAATACAGAAGGCATTCAATAGGTGGCCATTAACCTAACTTTTACCACAGCATTGGCATGAAGAGACATAGTATTAGCATACATAGTTTTATGGAGCCCAATAACCTGTAAGACTGCAAGCATATTGTTTCAGGCTCCCTTATTGAATGCCTTTTCAGCGTCCATAGACAGGAGAAAGCCCTCCTGATTGTTCAAGGTAAGCCAATGATGTCGTTTCAAGGCCTTTCCGGTGTAATCCCTCCCCTCCCAACCAGGGATGAACCCCACCTGTTTGAGGGCAATCCAGGATGGGAGCACCAGGGCCAGAGGATTTGCTAAGATTTTTTGCAAAGATTTTTATATCTATGATAAGGAGAGAAATTGGCCGATAATTGCAGACCCAAAAGAGGTCCCTGCCTTCCTTGAATATAACTGTCACATATGCCTCTAGGAGACTTTCTAAAGGATGAGGACCACAATGATAAAGATCAGACATGCTTTTGTAGTATTGCACCGGCCCATGCGGTCCAGTGCTCTTCCCTGGTTTTATTTCCTTCAACAAGAGTTTGAATTCCTCCAGTGAAAGATGGGATTCCAGTTTTTTAGTTTCTGTTGGAGAATGGAGGGTTGTATTAAACCAGGAACTCCCGATTAAGATGCTTTCGTCTGCGGTCCAGGGAGGTGTTAGCCCTCTGAGAGCTCAAATTGTAGAGTTAGCTGTAGTAGGATTCAAATTGTTTGGCAATATGTTCATTGTTAGAAAGGACTGTACCCATTGCATCACAAATGTGATGACTAGTAGCTCCTGCTCTCTGGGCTTTCAGGGCCTAGGCTTGGAACCAACCACTTTTGTTCCCTTGATTGTAGAATCATTTTTGTTATTTAACTTCTCTAACTAGAGGGCTCTGGTCTCCGTCAAGTCCTCAGGCTTCTCCAGAGCTCTGGAAGGTTTATGTTAGGACTCAAGGATATGGATAAGCTCATTAAGGTTCAGTATAGCAGCGCAATGCTTACTTTCTTTCTTTGAAGCCATATCCAGTTTTTGTCCTAAGATCCCTCTCAAGGAAAGTCAAAGTCAAGAGTGATGGTCGGAAAGCACCATGCTCTCCATAGTTGATTTATGTAAGAACGTGAGGTCCCCTGGGTCATGAAAAGGAAGTCTATTTGAGAATGGTGGGGTACAAAGAAAAATTTTTCTGTTGGGGTGTAAGGTGTAACGTAATGTAGATAATTCGATTTGAATTTGCCACAAGGCTCTGTACTGGAGTGAAGAGGCAACTGCAGCCTTGGATAGGGTTTAGGGGTACATTGAAGTCCCCACCAAGAATGATCAACCCAGTTTTGAGGGACATGATTGCCTTCTGAAAGAAAGATCACTTGTTTGTTTGGAAAAGTGATTGGTCTACACTTTTAGGCTCCATGAACACTGGGATTAAAAAACGCCAATTCTCTTGGCAGAAAAATCCCCACTCATATAGAGTGATTTTGTACACAGTTTAGGTGGGTTTAGAATTTTTTGTGCCAGAAAACTTCAATCAAAACCAAAAACCAAAAGGGTTTTTTTTTTCCTGCCTCTAAACGCTGACGTTAAAATATGCCTCTAATCATCCTAATGTGCACGGACACATAGGATAACACTGAGCTGGTTCCACAGGCAAAACACAAAACTCGTGTAGAAGCTGTGCTTTTTAAGCCCATGTGCATGGACTATAACAGAATGGGATTTGGCTTGCTGTGTTTTTTGGAGCTTCAAGCTACAAAATGCTGGGGTGCGAATGGGGGCTTACTGTCGCATGGTAAAACTGTTGTCACCAGCATAGTAAGTGAGGAAAAATCCATATAACAGAGCCCTGGCTAGCAGTAAAACCTGTCAGTTTTGCAGGCACCTACACTTTAAGAACAGAGACAGGCATCTAGGCTGGCTTAATAACTCTGCATTGTGGTGACATGGTAAGCAGTCAAAGGGGAACTCACAGACAACCAAACCAGTGAATGGTTTCTTCCCAGTCTAGAGGACTTATAGACACGCACATTCTCATATGACTTTGAGGCAGTGATCCCATGGTACTTCTTTTTTTCTACACACACCCCTCAAATGACTAACATGTGTGAGAAATAATCTGATATTTTTAATTTCTGTGGTAGAATTTTTAGAACATTTTGAAGCCTATTTGAACTGCTACATATAACTACATATTTTACTGTGCACTTAAAATGATAATAAACCTAAAATAAAAAAATGAACATATTGCAGCCAACCAATCATTAGATGTGCTAGCTGCATTACTTGTCTTTTTTGTGCATAAACCCTTGCTGAAGGAGCAACAGAGACACATTTGAACAGCAGTTAATCTGGAGGGAGGGGAGTGTTAGATGTCCTAGCAGATTTTGATACACTAACAAATTGAAGCCAAACTCCAGCTCACACTGCAGTTGCAGCAACAGTGTATTTCCTTTTTGGGATAAAGGATTCAAATAAAGGAATAGAAGCTGCCCATTGTAAGCACCCTTGTCAGTGGCAAATGACTTGCATCATTCCCTTGAATGGCTACCTCTGCAGAATGGATTGATGTGTTGAAAAACAACAGACATACTGGCCAAATCATCAGGTGAAAATAAAGGTAAGAAAGCCTAAAAAAGAAAACGAATGCAGCCTCCGCATCTAAGAACTGGTAAACTGCAATGTAATAAATGTTTGCTTTTCGGTTTACTACTGCTTTAACTTTTTCGTGAAATTTTAACCACTTGCCTTCCGGGCACTTTTACCCCCTTCTTTACCAGGCTAATTTTCAGCTTTCAGCGCTGTCGCACTTTGATTGACAATTGCGCGGTCATGCAAGATTATACCCATATGAAATTTTTATAATTTTTTTCTCACAAATAGAGCTTACTTTGGTGGCATTTAATCGCCGCTGGGCGCTTTACTTTTTGCGCTATAAACAAAAAGTGTGCAAAAAATTTGAAAAAAAAAAAAGTTTCTTTGTTTCTATTATAAAATTTTTCAAACAGGTAATTTTTATCCTTCACTGATGTGCGTTTATGAGGCAGCACTGATGGGCACTGATAGGTAGCACTGAAGGGCACTGATAGGGGGCACTGATAGGCAGCACTAATGAGGTGTCACGGATAGGCGGCACTGATGATGGGTACTGATAGACAGCACTGATAGGTGGCACTGACTGGCATCACTGCGGGCACTGACTGGCGGCACTGCTAGGCATTGACTGGCACAACTGCTGGGCACTGACTGGCACAACCGCTGGGTACTGACTGGTGGCAGCACTGCTGAGCTGCATTGATGGGCACTGGTGGGTGGCACTGCTGGGCACAGGTAGGTGGCACTTCTGGGCACAGGTAGGTGGCACTGCTGGGTGGCACTGGTGGGCACTGCTGGGCACAGGTGGGTGCACTGCTGGGCACAGGTGGGTGGAGCTAGTGGGTGGCGCAGGTGGGCGGAGCTGGTGGGCGGCACTGCTGGGCACAGGTGGGTGGCACTTCTGGGCACAGGTAGGTGGCACTGCTGGGTGGCACTGGTGGGCACTGCTGGGCACAGGTGGGTGCACTGCTGGGCACAGGTGGGTGGAGCTAGTGGGTGGCGCAGGTGGGCGGAGCTGGTGGGCGGCACTGCTGGGCACAGGTGGGCGGAACTGGTGGGTGACGCTGCAGGGCACCGATCATCAGGGCACTAATCATCAGTGCCCTGATGATTAGTGCCAATCCCTGCTCTGAAAACTGCCGGTTCTCGGCAGTACTTTCCTCACGCTGAAAGTGCAGCCGAGAATCGGCAATTGCATTTGCCGGTGATCAGCGTGTCATTGGACACGGCTGATCACATGGTAAAAGGCCGCTGTGATTGGCCTTTCACCACATCACGTGATCAGCTGTGTCTGTAGGACACAGCGATCACGGAGATCGCGTTCTGGGAGGACGTCATATGTCACCCTCCCAGAACTAGCCAGCCGCAGTGCAGCAGTCATTCGGCTATCTGCGGTTGGCAAGTAGTTAAACACATGTAACATTGTCCTTGCCAAAACTATTGTAGTATTTCCACGACAGCCAAATAACTAGCTGTTTTGAGCAAGATCATTATATATCCCACACACAGCTTGGTCACATACATTCACATAAAGTGAATTTGCACTTTCAAGGCAGCCTAACAGGCTTGTTGGTCAGTTTTACCCTGCTTAATTTGCTCTTCTCCATGCTGTTCACCTGCTGGAGACCCTTCATTGTCCCCGTGTAAGCTTCTGGTCCATACTGCATCATGGAAAAAAGGGGGGAGAGTAACATGCTGACCATATGCCGAAATGTAAGTATTATCAACAGAGGGGCAAACTATCCAGTGAACCTCTTAGATTGCACTAAATTATATCTGTCATAGATGAATACCTAGATGAATACTACTTACCACCAGTCTTTCAACTTGAATAAAAGCCATATGGATGTTTGTAGTTACTGCCATAGTCAAATTGAATTTAAAAAAAACATTGACTGTAAAATGAATTCCCTTTTTTCTTAAGAATAAAATAAAATTTGTGTCAACTGATGTTCAGGCTAGTGACTCATGCTTTATCCCACACAAATTCAAGTTCATCTTTGAAGGAACAAAGGTCAACTAATAGACAATATAGACTATGAGGACTTACACAGGGACTTCATTTTGTATAAAGACGTGGTGTACAGCAAGGATTTACAAAGCATTTATCTTTCTAGCAGTTTGTTTTAAAATCACAATTGACACTTACATTATAATCTCTGTTTAAAGGGAATCTGTCATTTTACACATTCAGGTCAATGTTAACAGTTCTCTTGATAGCGTTTTCCCCCCTTCCTTCCCCAGTGACACTCTACCCAAGGGTAGAGCATCCACAAGACAACTTATGCATTAGTAATAGTCCATGGATGTCCAAGGGGCCAAGCTACAACTTCAATGTCCCTATATTGACCAGGGGAATAGTGCAGTTTTGTCTTGTTTGTGCCTATTGCAATCCTTATCAATGTCAGCTGAAGGGAACGGGGTGTGAGTGGAGTTGTTACCTTGTCTAGGGCCCCATTCCATTTCTTTTTTTTGTAAATTCTTTATTTACCGTCTCCAGCACTCACAGAGCAGCAAAATACAATGGAAGCAGATATACATGAGGTGACCCCATCAAAGACCCCAAGCCATCAGGAAATACGGCATCAGTTATAGATATAATAAAGTGCAAGGGCAATCCATTTCTAATTTGTTCTCTCTATTCGTCTTTCAGAACTGTAAGTTTAAACTCACTAAATTTAAAAGGCCTAATTCCCAGCCTCCACAGAGTCACTTTAACATCCCAAACTGGAGCTGAAGGATTCTTTAAAGGAATCAACAAAGCTGCTCGAAGGCTGAGGAAAGAATTGTCAATTACTTGTTAAATCTTGCTATGTCTGCAGGCATAGAGATAACTAACCCCATGTAAATATGGCCATAGTGTAACAATGTAACAAATGTTAAGTTGTATGGTATGCTTATTATACAATTTTATATGAGGTATAAGTCAAATTGAAAATGTATTTCTAGGCAAAATCCTTTTTTTAATTTTGTATAGAACTGGGGAGGGTTAGACCCTCTTTCTGTATTTTGTTTTGTTTTTTTTTTTGCTGCCCCCGTTGTGTCCCCATTAGAGAGACATTGTGCTGGTGACTAATGTCACAAATAAAGAGAGTAAGGGGAAATCCAACATTTTAGAGTTTTCCCCAGGACAAGAGGTAAGCTGAAATCTAATGGGGATGCTTTCACCAAGGTCATGTTCAAAGATGGAAATCCCCCTCACTTTGGGAGACTTTTTCTAATGTCCTGTTAAGTTTATGTAACCACAGCATCTAATAAAGAGGGCCAAAATGCATATGGAACAGAATAAAGAACATTTGGTTTGCCTATACATACACTTTAACTCTTTGTATGCAATTACAAACAACTAAATTGTTTGTGGATTGTGAACTTTTCTCTTCTGCAAATGTTCTTATTGTGAGATGAGCTCTAGGTAAAATAGAATATGGAATGTGGTTTTGCAGATCCCCAGCCTGTAGATAATGTGCAGTTAGAGAATAAAAGTGATAAAAATGTTTACTAGAGGAAAGTGTACTATAACTTTGTTCATGTAAAATGATTTACCTGGCATTGATAGCTTTGATTAGCATGCACTGATCATCTAAACATGCCATGTACCCAAGGTATGCAATTACAAGATCTAAGGGGTGGTTGGGCAGCTCTCACAGGTCAGTCAGACAGAAATCAAAATCCACTGGTTGCAAGTGGGAGACTTAAGGATCCCAATTTTTTTTTAATTTTGGCATTACGTCAAATAGTTTTGCTGTAAGTTGCTGATTAGTGAATGTTGAGTGAAGCCTGTTTTTGACAGCAGACAAAGAGATGAATGCTGTCAAAACATGCAACATGAGTTTCCACTGATATATTAAGAAGCCATCTGGTTTAAGATTAAGTAGTGCCTTACCCATTAACATCGGAAGAGTGATGCCTAACAGTAAAGCTACCATGTTGTAGACATGCTTCCATAAGGCTTGGGCTATCAGGCAGGACCACATTTATTTCTGGGTTTCACGCAACCACAAAGGAATAAGGGTTTCATCTATATGAATAAAAACTGACCATTGTAAGCACCCCTCTCAGTGTTAAACAGTTTGTTTCAGCCCTCTAAATTCTCTTTTACTGGAGAGCTTGGTTTGGTAAAAGAGGTTAAAAAATAATAGACTTAAAGTGGTTCTAAAGTCAAAAGGTTTTTTACCTCAATGCATTGTCTACATTAAAGTAAAAAATCATTCACTAGCTGCCCCCCTTCCCTAAATATCTACCTGAGTTCTCTCTCGATCCAGCACTGTACCCACCTGCAGCAGTGCTGGTCTCTGCTTTCACAGGACAGACTGAGAGCAGCGGGAAACATTGGCTCTTGCTGCTGTCAGATCTTATGAAGACACATACAGCCCAGCTTGAGAGCACCCCTGCTTGGGTACCTCCATAGCACAAGGCTAGCTATGGGGCTCTCAGAGAAGAGGAAGAGTGAACAGTGCCAGTGGGGGACCCCAGAAGAGGAGATAAGGGGCTGCTCTGTGCAATGCCATCACACAGAACAGGTAGGTATAAACCTCTTTTTTTTTAAGGGAAAAAAATTGAGTCTTTATTATCATTTAAGATTGCCATACACTCATCAAATTTGAGAAAGTTCATGATAACCCTTCTGAAATTCCCTAGGGGATGACTTGTCAGTCCCCTTCCGCTCGATATTCTTCTTCATCTGAAAAAAATAAAATTGTTGGCTGAATAGTTGCTGCATCCAGTCAGATGCAACCACTGTTCAGGTATTCAGACAGCTGCCAGGGCCAGCTGCCAGATTACAATAGCCAGCAGTGGGAGAGATGTTAGTGTGAATGGAGGAATCTCTACGTGTATAGCCATCTTTACTGGCAGGATCAATGGGTGATAAAAATAAGTAGTTGTGTTAATGCTAGTAACAGCCTACATGTAATTTTTGATTTTGCCCACAGTTCCACTTTATATCAATCCATTTTGTGTACATCTGTTACTTAGGAGACCAGAATGTGACAGTTAGTTGGCAATCAATACCTTTTACAAGCAAAAGCTCAGTGATGATAGTGCTGATTATAAGATAATGAAATGGGTGTTATCATTCGCTAAGCACCTGTTAACATGCAGTGGTTTGGATTGAATCAATGTCAAAGTTTGCTTTGAGAAAGATGAAAAACCGGTCTTGTGAAGTATATGTGAACCTGAATGGTTGTATTTATTTTTCTTTGCAAAGACTGCAGTTGTGCCAAGTACAGTGGATCAGTATCTTTTGTTACATTTCAGCTCTGGTTTAAAATTAAAATGACATTTAAAAACTATTAAACTATGAAACCAGTTTACCTTTTTTAGAGACACACCAGACAACTCTTAAAATCAGTGACCTCCTTTTCAGGAAATTTAAAACAACTGTGCTAGGGACTCAACAATAATAAACATGACTGAGGGTTTAAAGTGTATGTCAAAATAACATTTTAAAAAAGTACATCTCTAGAATGCATACATATTTACGACATCTTATCCCTTATCCAAGTACAGAAAAATAACTGTTGATATGGTAGAATAGAGTGTGCTCCTATCTTCTTCTTTGACATGACAACACAGTTCTGAGTTTCCATGTATGTGTTGTCATCCATGCCTGTTTTTTTTCTGATGGATTGCATCTGTTTATCTCCATAACCCCTCCTTGTGCACAGGCAGAGAACACAGGAAGCCATCAGCTCACAGGATATCTGGCAAAACTAACAGAAATTAACAGATATAACAAAACAATTTGGTGTATTTAGCAGACCAAAAGGTAGCCAATAAAAGAAGTTCACACTTTAACTCTGGCCCACTCTGTAAAAATCTTTTTATGACTGTTTGTATCTCTGTTGGGAAGATTGCATGTTTTCTCCTTTCCAAGCAACAGTAAAAGATGGAATTTTCCTAACGGGGACATAGTCAGAAAAAAAAAACCCATAACAAAAACAACTTTGGATGGAGTAGTTTTAGGTTTCTCCATATATATTATATTTACCTTGACTTCCCTGGGGTGTATGCTTGTACTGAAGACAGGGCAATGCTGTTAGACTCACATGTACCATGCTCCTGCGCCAGATCTTTCCCTATGTGTGCAGTCATCAGCACTGTCTTAAAGGGCTGTCATGCAGGTTCCTCATTGTTCGAGCAACGCATTCACATGCTAGCAACCAGACTATCCTATGGTCCCAAACCATGTGTCTAATGTTGCCCAGTGCCTCCCCAATTGTGACCTCCAGTGTTCCCAGTGTCCATCCAGCCTGAACCCAGCTCCTGTGTGTCTCAGTGGTCCCAGCGTTTCCTAGTGTCATTAGTCATCCCAGCCCTGTGGTGTACACCAACCTGTGACCCCAAACCTGCTCCTGTGATCCTCAGGTTCCCCAGTCTGTATCCTGCTGCAGTGACCCCTGCACACCTTCTAGCATTCAGTCTTCCTTCAGCAACATTTCAGTCAGTTAGCTGCTTGTCTGCACTAAGGATGATGTCAGGCAGGTTTGAATCCTAATCTGAACCCACTTGAGCTATCACACAAGGAAACTGTCATACAGAGCCAATAATAAGCATCTGAGAAATGCCCCTTGTGTGCGTTCAGCTGCAGGGAGAGGAATGCCTTGGCTGCTAATCATTGGCTCTGTGCTGTGACAGCTTTTTGGCAGGATAAATCAGGTAGATTCTGACTAAGATCCAAATGCTCCTGACTTTATCTCTACTCTGCACTAATGTGCTTACCTGTGAGTTCCAACCAGCCTCTTGTTAGATGCACATGTGTGCACCCAGCCTGTGTCTCTCCTCTATGCCTATGTGTGTTCCTGAGGACTCCTACTGTGTTACCTACTGCCTTGTGCATCCTGTGCTCTAGTGCTACAAAGGACTTTCACCTGCTTTCAGTGGCTGCCTGCTCGGGTGAATCATAGGAGCACAAGCTATTGTAGCACTGTCTTAGTCAGGTTGCTAAGAAATAGGTAAATTTAGTGTTTGTCTGGTTGGTAGTTAATTTGTGTAGGTGCACATTTGGTTTCTCCCTAAGCTCAGGAGGTTTGGTGGTTCTCACTGTCACCAGTAGGGATCGTTACTTCACTGGCCATAGAATGAGAATTTCTGTTTAGCTGAGTTATGAATATCCATTTCCTCCTGGTCATTCCAGTAGGAGGTTCAAGCCATTGGGGCATGATGAGGTAGAGTATAAATATTTGGTAAAGGCATATGCTAGCTCCCTTGCTTCAGGCTGAGACCCGAGAATCTGCTGCTGGACTGTTCATGCTGCTGTTTCCAGAAGCCTCACTGGGGTTTAACCAACCTTTTGGAACACAAAGCTGCATATCTGGCCTAAGAAACTCATCAGCTGAGAAATCTGCTATCTCTGAAAGTTCAAATCCTGTTCATCACCTGGCTGTGGCAGAGCCTAGGAGCCCCACATGCAATTACAGGAACACCTCTGGGACTTCACCTCTGAGGATCCAGTCTACTATCACCTTGCTGAAAGGCATCAGGAATCTAAGTCTGGGCAGCTAATCCTTGGCCTCATGAATAAAAGACTGTTCTGATCTGGGTGACATTGTTGCTGCAAAGAGAAAAAAGCCAATGCAGTGTGATGGGGATAGAATACTCAACTACCCCTAATCTAGCCTTTCCCTTTCAGTCTCTGGGGCTGAGACCTGTTATTTTTCAGGACAGTGAAGCCAGTGTCCTCTTCTTTGAATTTTTAATTATCGGAGTATCCAATGCACTACACCCCTCCTCAGTTTCCCAAGTTTATTCAGCATTAAACTTTAAAAAGACATCCCCTAGACTGGTCACTGAGTTAGTGTGCCTGGAGTCAGCAAAGTGTGTGTGTTGGCAACCTCTGCACAATCAGGAGATGAACTCTGATTATCATCTTCATCTGTGGTGTGACTGTACTTCAGTCACGTTTCATCATCATCAGTCAGCGTCCCCTTAAGGGTTCTGCTACACTGGGATTTGTCGGCAGCATAACATCTCCACCTCTAGGTGCTCTAGTGAAGATCAGGTGGTTCCTTAGATACTGTGCCTCAGCCCTCCCCATGGCTCTCACCATCCATAATCAGGTGTGCGTGCCAAACTATCCATGACTACTCTATGGCTTTCTCCACTGTCTGCCAGCTGCTACAACAAAGGCCTGGTCATCCACTCTACCCCTAATATGAGCAGATTTCCAATCCCTGACAAAGGTTTGATGCAGGAGACATACACCAAAACTATGTGCTCCACCATCTAGCATAACTCAGTGGTTTTGAGTATCATATCATATCATATCATATCACATCTGGTCATAAAACCTGTATAAATGGAAACTACAGACCAGTTAATCTAACCGTAGTATGTAAATGATTGGAGGAAATGATAAGGGACTATATTAAAAAATGTGCTGATAACAATTTCATCATTAGTAGTAACCACCATTGATTTATGAAGGACTGTTCTTGCCAGACCAACCTTTTAACATTCTATGAGGAGGTAAGCTGTAATCTGGACAGATATATGACTATGGACATGGTGTATCTGAAGCATTTGATACAGTGGGGAAAATTCACTAAAGGTTATTGCATGTATTATGTTGGTCCCATATTGCATGCGATACTGAAAATGTCAATTCACTGTTGCTAGTATGTGGTATTTACCACAAATAGCAAAAACGCTTGGTAAATACCACATAAAAAGACCTTAAGTCAATTTACAGAAGGAAATAAATAAATGCATGTGGTAATTAACCACTTGCCTACCAGGCACTTATACCCCCTTATTTACCAGGCCAATTTTCAGCTTTCAGCGCTGCCGCATTTTGATTGACAATTGCGCGGTCATGCAACATTATACCCATATGAAATTTTGATCATTTTTTTTCTCACAAATAGAGCTTTCTTTTGGTGGTATTTAATCGCCACTGGGTGCTTTACTTTTTGCGCTATAAATTAAAAAAGTGCAAAAAATTTGAAAAAAAAAAAAAAAAGTTTCTTTGTTTTTCTATTATAAAATTTTTCAAACAGGTAATTTTTCTCCTTCACTGATGTGCGTTGATGAGGCAGCACTGATGGGCACTGATAGGCGGTACTGATGGGCACTGATAGGCAGTACTAATGAGGTGGCATGGATAGGCGGCACTGATAGGCAGCACTAATGAGGTGTCACGGATAGGCAGCACTAATATGCAGCACTGATAGGCGGCACTGATAGGTGACACTGATGATGGGTACTGATAGACGGCACTGACTGGCATCACTGCTGGGCACTGACTGGTGGCACTGACTGGCACAACAGCTGGGCACTGACTGGTGGCACTGACTGGCAGCACTGCTGGGCTGCACTGGTGGGTGGCACTGGTGGGCAGCACTGGTGGGTGGGCACAGGTGGGTGGCACTGGTGGGCACAGGTGGGTGGGCACAGGTGGGTGGCACTGCTGGGCACAGGTAGGTGGCACTTCTGGGCACAGGTGTGTGACACTGCAGAGTGGCACAGGTGGGTGCACTGCTGGGCACAGGTGGGTGCACTGCTGGGCACAGGTGGGTGATCTGCTGGGCACAGGTGGGCGGAGCTAGTGGGCGCACTGCTGGGCACAGGTGGGTGGAACTTGCAGGTGGCACTGCTGGGCACCGATCATCAGGGCACTGATCATCAGTGCCCTGATGATCGGTGCTGATCTCCGCTCTGACAACTACCGGTTCTCGGCAGTACTTTCCTCACGATCTGACAGCGTGAGGAAAGTGCAGCCGAGAACCGGCACTTGCATTTCCCTGTGATCAGCGTGTCATTGGACACCGCTGATCACGTGGTAAAAGGCCGCTATGATTAGCCTTTTACCACATCACGTGATCAGCTGTGTCCGTAGGACACAGCGATCACGGAGATCGCCGGGTGCGCGCCCCCTGGGGCGCGCAGGAGAGCGCGTTCTGGGGGGACGTCATATGACGTCCACCCAGAACTGGCCGGCCGCAGTGCAGCCGTCATTCGGCTATCTGCGGTCGGCAACTAGTTAAGTAGTGGTTGAGGCATGCGGTATGTACTGGGTCTATGTATTCTGTTTAACGTATCATAAATTATATAGGGGTTGGAATAGTTCAGTCTCAGTATTTGCTGATGCTACAAAGCTAAGTAGGGTAATAGCCTCAAAACAGGATATAGCAACCATACAGGAAGACCTTGATATAATAGAGGGGTGGGCAACTACTGTACATGGCAATTAAGGTTTAATATTGCTAAATGTAAAGTGATGCACTTGGGGACTAAAAAAATATGAATGCAAGTTACACCCTAGGGGGAGAACCTCTGAGGGAATCCAGAATGGAAAAGGGTCTGGAAGCCCTAGTGGACCACAGGGTAAACAATAGCATGTAATGCCAAGCTGCAGCTTGCACAGTTAACAGACTATTAACATGCATTTAGTATGCCATCCAGTTCTGGTCTCCAGTCTTCAGGAAGGATGTGCTGAAACTGGAAAGGGTCCAGTTAAGGGCAACAAACCTGAAAAGGGGACTGGAGGACCTCCGTTATGAGGAGCAACTACATACATTAAAAGTATTCTCTCTGTAGGAGAGATGCTTAGGAGGAGATATAACTGCAAAATACAAATATCTAAATGGTGATCCTAGCATAGGGAAAAAAGTATTCCGTCACAGGTCACTCAAGAAGACCATTCAATGAAGTTGAACGAGAAGCAGATTTGCTGCATAGGAGGTTCTTTACTGTTAGAGCCATAAAGATGGTAAAGGTGTGAAAATCCCTTCCATAATTGGTGGTGTCTGCAGAGAGTGTTGATAATTTCCAAAACTCTGAGATGGGCACCTTAGCAACAATACACAGTACAGAGATATGGGAAATGGTAGAGGCATAAATACATACAAACTCATACACCCACACCCACACGAGTTGAACTGGATAGACTTATTTATTTATTCAACCTTACCAACCACGGAACTATGAGATTACTAATGATTTGGCTGAGCACTGAGTGGGAAGAAGAATAACCTCCCAGGTTTTTCAACTAGTATAGGCTTTCTGTGTGGTTTTTATTTTTTTATTTTTTAAGATTTAACAGAGATAAGTTATGATTGTGTCTCTGGGGATATCACTTAACATATGCAGTCCAGTCCATATGAATGCAGACAAAAAGGAAACTTTAGAGGTCTTAGTGTTCCTGTTGATTCAGTGTACCTTAAATTGGCCTAATTAATAAATTTAAAACTTTACAGGTCCCAAGCCTGCAATTTTCTGCTACCATTCTACCACCTAATGATTGAAATGCCTCTCTGGCCAAGCTAACTTTAAGCAACTGCCAAAAGTTTTCATTTCTTCTGAGGTACCCACAGACATAACATCGTCACCCAATCAGTTGTCTTTGGATACCTTTTTGAAACCATGGTAGGATCAGTAAATTGCACAAATGTAGCCTTAATATGATTAATAATATATCAGTCACACAATACCACTGGCTTTTTGTATGGTCAATGAACATGCAAAGATATCTGACATTAAATAGCACTACTATGGGTAGATAACTGTAGGAAAATGTTTGTCTTAAAAATTGTCTTAAGATGCCTTGATGTTGTCATATTATATATGTGACAGACCCAACCAGGAGAAGGGCTTTTGGAGGGGACTGCAGGCTAGCCTCTTGCCTACTGTCCAGGACCCTGGCATCTGAGGGGGCTCTATTATTTAATGTGCCTGGGGGGAACCTTTGGAGTCTTTACTTGGGATTCAAGTCCATGTCTCCCCTAAACACACAGACTCTGAGAACTAGAGGACCAACATACAGATTTGGAGTCTCTGTGCCCAAACTAGCACTTACTGCTTCAACCCCCTCCTTCCCAGACTCAGAGACTCTAAGAAGATGTTGATGTAATTAGCAAAATGACCTGATGTGAGGACTATTGCTCTAATGTGTTTTTAAGGTGTTATGTGTCTACTATCCTCTCCCATTGTGTGCCTCCTAGGTGTGAATTCCCATTGTTAATTGAGTCACCTATTGCAGGTCTGTTGGCAAGTCCTCTTGGAGGCTCCTACATGATCAGATTAGACTGATGTCAGATTTACCTCATTATATAGTCAGTGTGGGATGTAATATTTGTTTTATTGTTTATGTAGGGGCACTGTCCCTATTTCTGGAGTGTACAAAAACTGTATTTCTGTTCAATAAAGTAGTTCCAGTTTGCATCCAGCTAGTGTCACCTAGTCTTGGGTGCAATGCCCAGCTATAATACCTTGGTCCTGGGTCCCAATGGCAAGGAGGCGGTTTTCTGATGGAAGGCACAAGTTGGGTGCTAGGTGTTCCGTCACAATATGGAATCAAGGTACGTAGCTAATCAAAATGTTCCTCCTGAATATTTTATAATGCATATCTAACTTATGTGTGGATAGGCTCAAAATTCAGGACTTCAATTCAGGTAGACTTTGCAGCTTTCCTCATTAGAGCACTGCAAGTTCATCAGCTTATCAAATCAATCCCATTCAGAATCAGAATCCAAAAGACATAGCAGAACAAACAGCTTTTTAATCAGAGCAGAAACAGGAGAGACTCTGCTACAAAGTTTATTAAATGCCTTGCAATTGACATTGATCACCCAGAGGTGATCGTTTTTTCATAACAAAAGCGAAGTTCCCTTTAAACATATTCAAGCTTGGCACACAAGATTCAGAGAAAGTTTTAGTGAACATCCTATACGGTCTATAACAGGGATTTGTAGTTAAAAAAGGTAAATATGACAAGAAAAATTTGCACTTTTGCAAATGCAGATGACTGACATGTTGCATAGGGATCCCTTTAGTAATAATCCTTCAGTAGTAATCCTGTTCCAAGAAACTTTGGGCTGATCTAATAAAACTGGTAAAAAGGTCAATAATAGACATTTTAAATAACAAAAAATCCTAGCATGCATGAGGAACGATTGTGCACAATAGAGACATGGAAGCTGTGCGTGACAGCCATCTTGTTAACGTCTCAGACATTTTGTTTTCATGAGCAGTGTTCCTACTTCCCCCCCCCCCCTTTGCAAACTATGGAATTTGTAGCTGTAACTTTTTATGAACTTCAAAAGCACCTCACATACGAAAGGGGAGAAAGCAGACTCTTCCCTTCTGGGTAACAAGCTACGCTGTGTTTGGTATCCCTGGGTTGGAAATACAATTCTGAATATTAATCTGCCAGTTGCAAGAATACCACCTGCACATACTGGAAGTTATTAATATTAGTATCAAACTGTAGTTGGGACTTAAACTTGGTGACCTCCTAGCACCCATTCCCTACACCGGAGGATTGGTCAGTTGTTCTCGGACCACACACTTTTGATATCACAGAAAAGGCACTGACAGGACTTGTTAAGATAAAGCTCTCATTTTACCATCAACCAAGGAACACCCAAGAGAGCCACAACAACTTTTTGTGGCTTAGGCAATTTGACTTTGCAAGTATTTTTCCTTCTTAACTCCTTTTTTTTATTTCTCTGTTACTTTATTGCTCTCTTTATTTCTTTGTAACATCTCTTTTTGGAAATAATTTAATTGCACCATTTGACCTTTTCATTAATAAACCATATTTTGAAAAGTGTTAAAATTAGCTCTAAGGCTTTTAAAGCAAGCTAAAGAATCCCTGTCTCTTAAAGAGTGCTACTGATAATAATCCTCTGAATTAATCCTCTGAATATACCTGTCTGTAGTGACAGTGTGTGTTACAGACATTTATTGTTCACATTTGTTCTTGCTAACATTGTGAAGGTTTGATATTCCCAAAGCTATCTGGTGGCAGTTTGGAGTTTGAAGGGTTAATTGCAAAATTAACCTAACCCAGTGACAATCGCTCTCAGGCTGCTGGCACCTAGGTTGTGGAAAATGTTGATGCAGTGTGCAGTTGAGAGTGGCATTGTTACGCAAGTGACCCCGCGGTGTGAGATTGGCTGGTCCTTTTCACAAGTTGGTGAGAAGGGTAGGGGTCGGGCACCGCATTCGTCACAGCATGGTAGAAATTTTTCAGCACAGCAAACATATTTGTCATGCAGTTATAAAACAAATTAGGAAAATGAAGAAATACATCATATACAGTTGTGTTCAAAATAATAGCAGTCAGACATCACTAACCTGATCAATCACCTTTTTGGTAGAAATAATATTTCTACATGGCAAATAATTTACTAGCAGGTGTAGTAGAGTAATAGAAATCCAAAAGACCCAACAGTCATGACATGCAGGCTGCTGATTTTGTGTAATTGAATCACTAGTTGAAAGGGGCATGTTCAAAATAATAGCAGTGTGGAGTTCTATTAGTGAGGTCATTCATTCTTTGAAAAACAGGTGGCAATTATTGCCCTTATTTAAGGAAGGAAGGCAGCAAATGTTGTACATGCTGGTTACAGTGCATTTCTCTCTGAAATTCTGAGGAAAATGGATCGTTCCAGACATTGTTCAGAAGAACAGCGTACTTTGATTAAAACGTTGATTGGAGAGGGGAAAACATATAAAGAAGTGCAGAAAATGATAGGCTGCTCAGCTAAAATAATCGCAAATGCTTTAAAATGGCAACCAAAACCTGAAAGACGTGGAAGAAAAAGCGAAAAACTACCATTCGAATTAATAGAAGAATAGCCATAATGACAAGGACTCAGCCAACAATCAGCTCCAGGAAGATCAAAGAAGGTGTAAAGTTACCTGTGAGTACTGTTACAATTGGAAGACGCCTATGTGAAGCCAAGCTATCTGCAAGAAGCCCCCGCAAAGTTCCACTGTTGGGAAAAAAAGA